CCAAGACTCACAGAAAAATGCGTGCCCCAACGAGATGGATAACTTTTTGAACAATAGGATACTTGTAATCATGCCGAAACCACATAGAACAAACCCATACGCGCTAGATAAAACTTTCATCTATTAGAATTTTTGCACTGTGTAGCGTAAAACGTGATTAACATTCACGAGACCAGTAGGGTGTGAAGTGTAATCCGTTGCAATAGCGACGCATTGCCATTAGTAATTAAAAAATGACAATTCCTAATCAAGATTACGTGTTTTAACAAGCCGCCTTGTTGGACAGGCGCGCTCTTCGGAGGCGAGTCCGTGGTGGCGTGGCTGTGAGAAGCGCCAGCAGCTGCGGGGGCGCCGTCGAGGGGAGGGGCGCTGACGCGCCCTCGAGTGGCGGGAGGGGGAGGGGCGCACCTGCCACGCGGCGCATCGCGTGGGCGAGCCCCTCGCCCCCACCCCCTACTTCCTCTTCCAATCGGACAGCCGACATCGAGCCATCAAGGATTTTTTAAAGGCCTTTGATCGCCTCGTTTCGGTTATGTCGTATCGTTATGTTAAGATATTCTTTTTTTATGTTCCTCATTTTAAAACGGTTTCGAACATTTCTTGGAATTGGCCTGCGAGCAATTTCAGACATTATGCATTCTGAATTTACTGCTGAGTTGGGAAAATACGTAATGTAACGTAACAATCTTTCTCGCAGTATTTCTGGTCGTTACGTAAATTTCGGTAATTAGTTTGAAATCTCTCTCCTAGTACTTGACTTGCATTGGAGAACAACCTTCATCAGACTGCTTGAAACTCAGCTTAAAATATTCGTTTTTCAACGTACTCCATGACCCACATTTTAACGAAAATTGAAATTAAGCGTTCATCATCGCTTATCCAACAATATTTTAACGTAAACATTTAGAAATTAAAAGAAATTAAATACTTGTAGTTTCTGAATATATGTCACGTACTCGAATCTAATAATTTTATATTAAACAACATAATATTAAATGTTTTGTGTACTATCTATAAATATTTCAAGAAAACTATTGTAGTTTTTAAGCAAATTCTGAATTATTAATAAATTCTAAATTGTTGTATTGTAATTGCAATTAAAAATTATTGGCAAAATATTAAAAGTTAATGTACGAGACAACTGATATAAGTGCCAAAGAGGTTCGAAAATAGGTAAACATTCGTATTTTTGGCAAGTTGACAATTTGAATGATAATTACACCTGTCATTACATTAAACACACTTTGTTATTCGGTCAGGTAATACAAAGAGTTTTTAAGGATTTTTTGGCGTTATGATTTTATCTCCAGAAAGTATAGAGGGATAATTTATTACTCCATTTCTCGGTTTCTGTTATCGCTGGTGAAAAGCGGCGAACGTGACATTTTGTGTAATATTCATCAAAGTAAGCATTAGTAAAAAGCATGTGTCGCTGTTCGTCTTGCACTTTAGTATAAGAAATTAGAGTGAAGGTGGGGAAACGAAGTACTCCTGCCTGCGTGTTCGTATATACGTGTACGTGTGTGCGTATTCCGCCCCCAGGAGTTAGCGTTGTTTACTGACGAACATGGTATTTAAAAAGTTGTTTGCCTCACCCAATAAAGCATCGCTTCGTGGTTTCAATCTGTGGAGCGTGTAACAGACTTGACATTTTCACACGGATTTCTCGGAATATATTGTAACGTGCCGTAATACCCATGTTCAGGTGCATGTATTCTTTCGGTAACCGCTACGAAGAATCTAGAGGTTGCCACATAAGTGGAAAAGGTGGCACATTTGCCGGGACTCTGAATAAATTTCGAGAAAGCTGTACGAATATAGGATTTTATCTTCTAAACAACTATGTACAGAAAGGACAATGAATAATGCATACAAGTAAATACTATCTTAGGCATAATATTGACACCTGCTCATTAAATTGACCTTATACATAATAATTAAATTGACGTTTGCAACAAAAACAAGAAGTCAGTGGCCATTGACTCTTTGTGGTATTATTTTACCATCTTCAATTTCCTGTTAAAAATTAAAAACACCCAAATCGCTTTTCTAAATAATAATCAGTTCACAATAGTGAAAGCAATCAATTCACTTTTAAATTATTTCTTTTTTAACCAGAGATATGTCTTGAATTGGCATGATTAGCACATGTAATTAACAATAAAACAGAGATATCCTTATATTTGTGACTACGAAAATGGTAATTCATAAAAAGGTCTTTATTTCAAAATCTCGACGTTTCGCGAATATGATTCACGCATCATCAGGAGTGTACATAAACTAAGTTATTCGACATGAAAATAAAAATGACAAACAAACGTTTTTGAAGATAACTAATACAAGGTTTTTGAATAAGTAACAAAAACAGAATGGAAATAATTAAAAATCGAGTAAGTAGAAAATGTTACTTACAAGTTCAAAATATAAATTAGATGGGAGATAACTTACAAAAAATGTTTCAATCGTGCCATATCGTATTTGTAAAATATATAAAATGTTTTTTAATGTTCAAATGTTTTTAAGCAAAAGACAGTCTATAATGGGAAAAGTTCCCATTATGAGAACAATCATCCTCACTGTGTGGGGAGAAAGGGGGCCGAGCAACCTTAAAAGTAGACGTTATTATTTTGAATATATAACAATAAAAACTAATCGAAAATGAAAAGTGAAAGGGGAAAGAACAGATCTAAACATACATAAGCCAATAAAATTGCAAAAGCTAAAATAGAAACAATAATAAAATCAATAAATTTTACTCTATTTTCATTTAAAAATAACATAGTTAATTATGTTCGTATCAAGTTAAACACGTATGCTTACAGCCAGTTTAACCGTTTAAAACAAACGGACAATGCGGTCTGACGTTGACCGCAGCTCAGTCAGCTGTGCACCGACCCATCTCGCCAGCCAGTGGTCCCTGCGACCTTGACCTTGACCTTCATCACCGCAAGCTCTTACAGGTCGTACCGGTTTAGATGGCCAAGGGCATCAATTGATGCTTGTCCCGCCCGTTTCCATCTCTCGTCGAGTTGCAGGTGCGTGTTTCTGTGCTACCCGCGCGTTGAAATCTCCGTCTTCCGTTTGTCGCCGCCGGAAGATCCTGCCATTCCGTCTCTGTACGAGTGAAGCGCATCGCGCACAACCTCACCCGCATAGCCTCCGCCGCGCCCCCGAGACCCCTTTTCATCTGCTAGTCCTTTCTGTCCTGCCGTTTTGATTGATTGATTGATTGATATTTCCGGGCACGTCAACTATAATGGTAATTATTCCCGTTAGTGTAGTGAGTGTTTTATCATGGGAAGGGACGGTATTCGTCAACCGCTGGAACCAGCGCCGACTTACACGTGGGTTTGTGAGGAATTTCCCTATCCAAGAATCTCCTCCAGGGGGCACCGCCCCTGCCTGGTCAAGATCTAAGCTTCCGATGTAAGCAATAGGATAGTGCATGCAAGTATAAGTGTATATTGGAGGAGATGGGACATAAGAACGAAGGGAAGATCGCGCGCGGTCCGGGGTCCGTATTGCTCCAGTATACGCCTGGTATTGATCGAAAAACCCTAGGAGAACTAAGGGAACCTATCAGAGCAGCCAGCAGCTAAAATTCTCCTCCTCTGCATTCGAACTAGCGATGTAGCTAGTGCTGAAAGTCATTGCAGCGTCGGGACTCGATCCCAAGCTCTCCTGGTCAGAGACACTGTAGAAGCAGGGGCAATTCTGGCTGTGAACGAACCTAGCCGATCCCCGCCAATTTGTGTGTTTTTTCTGTGTAGGTACATGTAATATGAATGTACCGTGATTAAAACCCATTAAAACGACAAATAGATTCAATTCATCTGAGATGCATGAAACATTCTGTGGTTTTTTCTATAATTAAAAAAAATTAAATAAGAGTTTGTGTGGTTTGACGAAATCGAACACACGTTTGCTGTTCCCGCAAAGCTTCTCTGACGTGAATGTCTTGCGCCTACGGCGAAGATAACATTTTATCACGGCCGCTGAGCATCGTTGAAGCTGAGCCGCGAAAGAAAGGATAAGTGGCCGCTTTCCCTCTTCGCGCTGAACGCAGCCAAAGAAAAGGCTAATTAAACATTTTTGACTCGACGCCCGGCGATGTAGCGTCGCGCTTCGCTGCGCGCACACTGCCTGCCATTCACTGCGTGAGGCGGCTGGCAAAAGGGAAAAAAACAACAACGAAGAAACGAGGAGCAGAATTGGTCGACGGTGGCGTGGGAGGGGTTGGTGAGGGGGGGAGGAAAATGTCTGCGTGTAAAAATTGAATGTTCCTTCGGACGCAGGGCAAAAAGCGTGACACTTTCTCCGTTACCGCCCGCGCCGCCGACGGTATTGTCGTCATGGACTGTAATGGCAGGTGTGCCTGGGTGTCGTTTTCATCCGATGATATTGAGTGGTGTGAACCACCACATCTGTTGATTTCACTGCAATGTCCCTGACCGAGAGGTCGCTGAGTTTGAGTCCCAACAGAGGCAGGGTTTTCGACGAGCTACATAGCGAGGTCGACATCAGATCCCGTCTGGAGGAAAAGTTTTAGCGGCCGGTTGCTCTGATCGGCAGTTTTCTGTAATTTCTGCTATCAACACCCGGCGAATGCCGGAGCAGTACCTTAACCTACGGGCCACAGACCTCCCGATTTTTCTCGCGACTTTTTACGCGGTACTCCACTCTTTAGAGCGGGTCGGTACCTTACTGAAGAGAGATACCTGGTTGGGGAAAACACGGCAAGCCTACGTATAGGTCGGCGCCGGATCTCACCATCCACCAAAAAGATCGCCACCAGTACTTCCCACTATAAACATACACTACACTTGCGGGAGTTATGACCTTAGTAGTTGGTGTGCCCGGAATCACTAATCTATCAATCAATCGATTATACGTGCATGGAACAGAATCTCTGAACTAACCAAATGCTCTGCGCAACAATGGAATACAAGGTCTCGATGACCTAACGCACTTTCGGTCGTTAAGTTATTGATTGTCTTCAGAATGATTCTCATGATTTTGGAACTCAAGCGGAATGCCAGAATCCTCTTAGCTCTCATCCTCAGGCTTTTGATCTCTATGAGGTCTACAAAAGTGAACACCAACATCCGTGGCAGGCAGCATTTACGCCTTTAGATCGAGCATTATTAGCTGAAAGGTCGTGCATTCGATCCCGGACAGAAATTTGCTTGAAGACTCCTGTCAGGAATGAGTTCGTTTTTCCGCTGCTCTCATTGGTGATCTTTCCATCATCTTTCAATCCAGACAGGAAGTCTGCGAGAGTACTTTAAGACCAATGTTGGCGGGAAAGAAATAGAGAGTTGGGAATAGCTGATAATAATGAATACGATAGTTTGCGCTGAATAATTATGATGTTTAATCAAATGTGCTTTGAATGCTGATTAAATTTTAAACACTACAAATATTTTATTCATTCTGTCTTTGTAATTTCAGTGTCTAATAAAATCGGGTAAGAATGAAAAAAGGCATTTGACTTTAGCAGTAGTAATGGTTCTGATGTATCATTATACTTTTATGTATAATGATACATCAGAACGTCGTGATAACATGAGGAACAATTCGTGATAACATCAGGAACATACAAAGTTTCTCGAGTTTATTGGCATAATTTAAGTAATCATGTATTATTTGTTTATTAAATATTTCGTACTTTGTAAATCGGTTTTACATATGCCAGTAACTTATTCTGAAAACTGTGGAATCCGGGTCAGTGGTACATCTCTAATTCACTGTACCGTGACTCTCCAAACTTTCGATTTACTAATCTAGATGGCTATATTCTACGAGCTTATCGAATCCAATACGAAGAAAGTGGAGTATGTATAAATATTTGTATTATGCTGTTTGAAAAGTTAAATATTTTCCTGCGAGTAATATACGAATAATTTGACTGGCTCGGGGAACGCATATGCTAGTTCACGATGAGGATTCTTCCTTCGTTCTTCGTAACTCATGCAAAACAATCTTTTGAGTCAGTACAACACAGAATTTCCACAATTTATGTGGCGTTTTGTACAAAACTCATTTAGATTCAACATGACTTCTCTCGCGTAACTACTATTACTGTACTATTACTTAATTAAATGGAACGTAAAAACCACACACTTTTTGCCTGCCATGATGCCTTTTGATTGATTACCTTCAATGTTCTTCTTCTTGTTTCGTTATGAAAATGTTAAAACAAGTCACGCTTGTCTGCAGGTACACAAATTATTTCTTTGAACTTTCTCAAAGAATGATTGCCAAGAACATGCCCTGCTGGGATGCAATTGCTCGTCTGACCAAAATGTTTTTGTGAAACATTTTCCATAGATGATCCTTGTCTCTATTACATACACTGTATGCACCCGGATTTTTAAGATAAAGTGACGCATCCCAAGTATATAGTAAATCTATTTATGCAACAACAGTACATACTTTCTCGTAATGATAACTTTCTCTTTGGTAACGCTTACGTAAAATTATAATGTGACAATTTGTCTTAGTTATTATTCAGATATCTCTTAAAAAGGTCTTTATTTTTTTTAAATACAAAAGTGTAAATGTAATAGCTTTTTGCCTTTGAATTCAGTGTATTCGTGTATTTAGTGAATTCGCTTATATGAACGCACCAACGATGTTGTATGCGTATTTTCTCCCTAAATAAAATTAGTAGTTGATAATAATGTTTACAAAGTATATTTACAAAGTTTGGAAGCATTTGCATGAAATCCTGTCTCTTCCCTCTACAAATCGCAAAACATTAGGTACGAAAACTAATTCTTTTAAATCAAATATGTCAACAGATATCCAACAATGATAACTTGCCAGAGCCAAGAAATATGATTTTTTCTTTCGAAAAATCGCCGGTTTTTTCGCAGTATTGTAACACTTTCTCTCTACTGCGTTAGCAGTTCACGAGAAAGTAACAATGGGTCCGAATTTGTTTTCCATTTTCGTTCCGCAACACCGTTCTCTTTACAGCGCTCTCAACGAAATACAAACGGATCGAAATATGTAGCTCTTATTATAATGACTATTATTAACATCATTGCATCAATTATTACAAATTTGTAATTACTGCATTAAGCTAAAAGAACATGTAATTGTAACAGAAGAGTTGCCACAGGACAACTCTTGACTCATGTTTATTTTGCTTATAATATGTTCAAATAAAGAACAAATTGTTAATAAACAGTTAATTAAAAATTAATAACATTAAATTTGGTATTGTAATTATCATCAAATCGACCCCTTTTAGTACCTAATACACTTTATTCTTGTTGTCTAAGCATGTCATGATTTAACAAATGTTCTATTTGTTTTCACATTTTATGAGAATTATCTAAAAAACGCAATAACTACTAGTATTTAAAATAAATATAGATGAAAAGATTTAAATATATAATATATACAAATAGTGGAATTTGGGAAGGAATCCTCAGCTTCAAATTTGAAAGTGAGGTCCAAGTTCGAAAAAAATTGAACAAATGGAATATTACAATTTCATTTTCGAGGAGCCGTGGATATAGCCATATCGATTGAAGAATTCCAGTTTGGTAAAAATTTTGTGTTCGATTTAGAAGCTCTTGTTAACTCACAGATGGACGGACGAAAAGTCGTATCCACGTTTTCAGTATTAAGGACCCATAAAGCGAGAATTATAGCTACACAACGTATTAGAGGAAGTCAATTACTACATACACTGTTTATAGGAGGTAACATCCGATTGGTATCGATACCTTTCAAAATGTGTTTTTCTGTCGAAATATAACACTTTTAACGATAGCATTACAATACTATATTCTACTTTAATATATGAGGAAGTGAAATGTGGATAACAATACGTCTGTAGGTAGGAGTACTTACATCACTGATTCGAAGTCGGCGATAATTGCTCGTTGCAACGAGGCAACCTTGCCTCCAAAACACACAAACGTGAATCACCAGATAATCGCCGCACTCCGATCCTCCAGAGGGAAAGCCCGTGAGCACGCAGCGTGTCGGGAGCGTTTTGCACAAGTGAGAGAGTTTGAGAAAGGCCCTTTCGTCGGGCTCAAGCAGACGGATTGGTCGTTTCGACGAATTTCAGAGCTCTTAGGCCGCTCGGACCTCAGCGGAACACGTCACTTGAAGCGACGGTGCCATCATGGAACAGAAGAGTGACAGGAAGTCTGAACGACTGCAAGTTAGCCATTTCGGTGGCCACCACGGTTGTCCGTCAAGCTCCGCTCGTTGGTCATTCATGTAAACCATCCATAGACACGTGGCGCGATCGACGAGGAATCCGGTGCCGTATAATTTCTTAAAGGATAGAATTTGTATTGCAACGTGAGTTGCATCCCTGTTATACTTGCATCCATCTCGATCAGGTTTTCGTCCAGTTTCCCTGATCCATTGAGCAAGTGCTGAGATGGTCCCTTGTTTTGCTTCTGGACGTAAATGTAGCTTCACTATGCGCACATTGTGTTAAACTGTCCTTTTGCTTGTAAACGTAGGAGTAGAGGTAAGGCGAGCTACTATTTTGTTAGCAACGCAGAAAAATCATCCTTCCAATTCGTCTACCGATGAAAGTAAGTTTTCTGTATCTCGGAAACGAAAATATTTATTTTTTCAAATATTGCTAATCTCACGCTCTTTTAAAATTTATTTTTATTTATTTTAAACTTATACTCATCTTTCAACTATTTATAGTTAAAATGACGGGAAGGGATTCTGGAGCCCAAGAAAACGTGCGCAGATAATCTTCTCCTACATACATCACATACAGTTTTTACTGTTTTTTTGACTAAATAAATCTAAATCTAATGTGACCCCGGTGATGCCCACACTCGTGGACTATTGTGGAGATAAGATTCGTTTGAAATTCGATGCGTCGTTTTATTTATCAGATCGATCGGTTAATATCAATTTTAGTGAAAATATATTGTATGGTTTTGGCGCTAGTGATGTTTACAGACACAGAACCGTTTAATAAAACTCCTTAACGGTATAAGGACCTCCAAAATGTGTTCGTCTAAATATCAACGTCGATTTTTTTGCAGCATTACGAAACTTTCTCTATGCTATTTACATGAGAAAGCAAAATTCTCTCAAATAACCGTTTGGCGCTTTGGAACTTTCTAGCAGAATATTTGATCTGCATAATTATGCAATAAAAGTTGCAAAGTGCTTGCAGATAATTCGACAAGCCCCTTGAGCGCACGAACGTTACATTGAGTGTAAAATTAATTCGAGCACTAATGAGTTAAAACTATTCATAGGAGCTGTTGTTTTCCTTATGATTCGTAAGTATGACTAGGCAGTTGCCGGACAAATTTGACTATCAGTTACAGCTACAGGATGCAAAAGGAAACGTGCCCAGACTAGGCATGTGGCATTACCGTTTCACGCAAATATTGGGATTATGTGAATCTCGTATTCCTTTTTGTAGCATTACAATACTTTCTCTATACTGCATATAGGGGAAAAGAAGAATACCAATGTGAAATTGACTATGAATATATTCTATTCTAAAGTACGAATTTAATTACGACTTGTAATTTGAGAAAATCGTCTGCTTATTCGATATGTGACTTCTAGGCTGCCCGGGTGACGCCGCGTCGAAGTCATGAACTCGAGCCGCGGAAGCCTACGTGTACATGTGCTTATTAGATTATCTTAATTCGGTTGTAGTACTACCTAAAATGCAAGCGTTTAGTAGATTTTGGTGAGTCTTTGAGAGAACGACTCTCTTCCTCGGTACGAAGTCACTTCAGTGCGATGTGCCTCAACAAGGTAGTACGCCCAGCAAGGTCCTTGGCTGCCTACGCGACAAGACTGCCCGAGTGAATGGCATTCTGTGCCGCGTTGGGGGCGGGGGGAGGTGGTGGGTGAGCCTCACCGGCTGAGTTCAACGACTGCATTCGGCGGTGGCTGACACGTTCAGTACTCACCCATTCATCCCCCCTCTCCCCGCTCACGTGCCACTCCGCCCCTCCCCCCTTCCTCTCCACACCTCTACCTTCACAACGCTACCGCCGGTGGCGGCGGCGATGGTGTAACGGTTAACGTACTGGACTGTTGTACCCAAGTTGGCGGGTTGAAACCCGATT